TTTTGTAAATACATAAATTCACCTTGAACTTTTATAAATTTAATATTGTGGCACCCTCAATTCTTACTTTGATCATTAAACACTTTAAACTTATAAAATTATACCTATAGATACTTCAAATTTAAATTTATTTTATTGAACATTTCAACTGTAAATTAGATCAATTAAACACTCATTAAAAAGTTAAAAAATTTATACGAATATTGTTCTAAAAGTCACGCTAACTGGCATATAAAGTCGATATTTGCAGATAAAAGGCAAAAACCCTAAAAAATTGAATTAGTGTCGAAGGTGTGTAATATTACTAAAAAACTTATAGTTTAGATGCATTAATATGTCAGCACAAAGTTCGGAGATGCCGCAATTGTTAAATTGTAAAGTTTAAAAAGTGAATTTATATATTTAACCTATGTATTTTGTTCAAACTTTAAAGGGTAACAGTGGATGTAAGTGTTGGAGGAAAGAGAAGAAGTCCCGCCGCATTGTACTTGTAAAAGTCAGATCCACCCGATAAGAAGCAGTTGAAAAATGAATTCCAATAGGATAAATAAAAAGTAAAGAAAGTCCTTTTAAGCCAAACAAATTCAGCTTGGACTAAAAATATCTAATGTGGGAAACCAGTTAGAGGAAGAGTAACTAAGCAAGTGATGATAAGAGATTGATTTGGAGGAAAAGCTTTTAATGTCTAATAAGTGGAAAAATTACAGTATAATTCATGTGGTTTATGAAATACAAATAAATTGTCTCCTATTTTTAAAAAAATATCAATTTTTCTATGTTTTGCTTTGTTATATTACTAATCATTTTGTCCATTTTTATAAATTTTTTTCATGAAGCCAATAAGAAAAAATAGAGATCAAATGAGAGATATTAAAATTTTAACTATTGAAAAAATTACAGTACGTTCTCTTGTGGTTTGAGGGAATACAAATATACCAAGAGCTAAACCCAAAGCCCAATAGCTCTCCATGTACACCCAAAACTTTAGTTATATTAAGTGAAAAACTTGTTCAAATACATCACAAGAAAGCTCATATTTCTTAAAGAGATTATGATATATATCCCAAATAAAATAATACCAATTTAAAACAGAAGAATGAGGAAAAAAGCATCCTAAAACCAGGTCTGTGTTAGTTATTTGTTCTCTTTCATATTCAAAAAAGAAAAAAAAAAAAAAAAAAGCGAAAAGGGCTTTAAAGTAGGATTTCTTAAAATAAAAGAAAAACCAATTGTAGCCTACATCTCTTTAGATCTGAAAAATTGTACTTCAATGCATAGTTAAATAAACCAAATTAAGGACCTTAACACAAAACCTACTTATATGGAGAGTTGAAGAGTTATTGCATTACAACTTGCAAACTTTTTGGCAAGCTAGACCTTCCAAAGCCTTTTGCTAAAACATCCAATATTAATATATCAGTGCACCCAACATATGTAAAAATAGAAAAATACAAACTTGATGTTTACACACAATAATTTATCTTTTCTTTGGGCAAATCCATCAGCTCTGACCAAACACAAGTAACAATATATAAAAACCCAAGAAATTTAAAAAAATTAAAACAAGGCCAATGCTAAAAAGGGATGGAGTACTGTTTAATATATTCCTTTAAATTAACTTTGTTTTTTTTTTATTGGTTTATTTCTAGTTGTTTATTATTGAAGGGAAGAGAGAAAGGTAAATACTAGAAGAAGGAAGAAAGAAACTATGGCAGGCTAGGAGTAACTTTTTTTTTTTGACATGCGTTGCATGTTAACATTGTTCATTTTTTGCTGCATTTTTATACTCATTTATTATTATGTTTTATACAATATTGATGAGTCTTGGTTTATAATTTTTCTCTTATTATCTAGATTTTTATAATGTTAAATTATTATTTCATTATGAAATTAAACATGAATATCATGGCTAATTGATAAAACAGTTAGTCAATATATATAACACACGTTACATTTTCTGAAACATTCCCTTCCCGGTCCACCCGTAACCCCAAATTGAACCGAACAACGAGACGCTACCAAAACTGTGACTTTATGACCTGTCATGCTGATAATAATAATGGAAGCCAGATTCTTATTCATGCTGATGCTGTTTATATTAATAATGTACTTAATATTTACAAAAACATGTACTAGTGTCAAAATGCGAAATGGGTCCAACTGTGGCCTGTACATGCCATGGAAAAAGGATAAACAAAAATAACATATCTGTATGAGTAGCTACCCTGAAGACTGAGTCTTCTACAGATGAACTGCAGCAGTTGCAAGCTGGACTCTACGGTCCAAACTCAAAAACCTTGCGAGTAAACAGGGTAACTCGGCTGAGCAAATAAAGCCTCAGTGGATATCTCAAAACATATAAAGAACAATAAGCACATACATAGATAGGGAATAAGCATGTAAAATGCATATAGATAAATAAACATAAGCACATATAGCATGAATCCTTTCATTATACCTGTGATTATCTTTTGTACTGTTTGTAATACTGTATGATTCATGAAATGTATGTCAAGATATCTTATAGCTCCATAAGGTTATAGTGAACTCGAAGTGATAAGAAAAACTGTATGGGAAACTGGATTGAATACTGTAATGTTGGCTCTTTATGGCCCATATATCATATCCACTCAACGCCTGTAGCCGGAGTATCAAACTGTATGAGGTGCAGACTGCTATCCTATGTCGCGACATACCTTATCTACATGGTTTCTAACCTAAACCTCAATGGAGCATAATGTTGGGTATGTCATAATATAACACAAACATCATATTAATAGTTCATAACTTCAATAATTCATAATGTATATTTGATTTCACATCATTTGCATGCTTTGCATTGTTTGTTTTATTACATGTTCTAATGTTGTATTTTGTATTAAGATGATTGGAGGCATATAAGTAAGCAAAGGAATACAATTGCATTGAAAAAAGAAGTCCAAAGTGCATGAAAACACAAGTCGCGAGCGCGCCTGCCAAGGTCGCGAGCGCGTAAAAGCACTAATGAGAGACAGTGAGTTATCAGGGCACAAGTCGCGAGCGCGTACTTGAAAGTCGCCGAGCGCGAGACAGTGCCAAATGAGAGACCAGTGAGTTTCCCAGGCCAAATTTTGCGAGCGCACGATGAAAGTCGCGGCGCTTACAGGCCCAAGGGCCAAAGTACGCGAGCGCGCAATGAAAGCGCGAGCGCTGAGAAGTGCCAAATGAGAGACAAGAGTTTGCGAGCACAAGTCGCGGAGCGTGCACTTGAAAGTCGCGGAGCGCGAAGATGTGCCAAATAAGAGTCCCAGAGAGTTTCAGGTGAAAGTCGCCGAAGCGCGTAGTTCAAATTCGCGAGCGGAGAGGCAACGCGAGCTCATCATGCGTTCGCGCGGCCTCGTCGCGTTTTTCAGCCTGCACAGTCTGTACTCTTTTGGTCATAATCTCTCAATAATACAACTCCGATTTGAATGATTCAAAAACCATGTAAAGCTTAACACATAGAGGAACAAATAACTCTTTCTATAAAACACTCCTAATTCCATCATTTAAATGGGGTCAAAAATCAAGATGAAGTTACTTGGTAAAATTTCCAGCAAGCCCTTTCAGCAAAACTCACGATTTTAACTTCATTTATTCAATACCCTTCCCTTTTGGTTTTTCCTTTCCCCTGTTTCTCACCATTATCAGGTCCTCCCACTCCAACATGAAGCAATAATGTCTCTTAGCAACACACCACACAAATTCTCATGCAAAGAAAATTGGTAAAATGAAAGAGATAATCCAAACCTTACTCCAAAAGAAGCTTGAGCTCTTCTTTAACTTCTTTTTTCTACACTCTTAGAACTCCCTTCACTATAAATAAGAATTCTTAATGGAATTCTTTACAATAAATAGCAACCCAATTGGATTCAATTATGAACTTCAAGAAGGTTTACATTACTTGGATAGGAAGAAAATTGAAGTTAAGGCTTAACATAACCATTAAAATTGAAAAGGAAAGGTGGAAGAGGGAAAGGAAGAAATATGAAGAGATGAAGATAAAATCTCTCTCTTTTT